ACTCAGAATTACTGTTTTGTGAAGAATGTCAACATTTTGACATTTGTTGCTATTCTCAGGGTAGAAAGGAATTGCATATTCATCTGGAAATTTTGAAATGTCATGTTGAAATCGCAAATTCAACTATGAATTTTGGAATTTTACCTTTTATTTCATTTTACATTAGCTTTGTGTCTTTTTTAATTAATTAAATGCTGAAGTAGAATATTTTAAATAAGTCTTTTTCATTTTCCCTGGTTTTGCTTTATTTTAGCATTTTAAAACTGTGAGAAGCCACTGACTCACACTGACAGAAAACCAATTTCAGCCATTGTTTTATACCGTTTCTGATTCCCACTCAGAGTGGAAATTTTCAATACGTGACTTCTGGGAAGAGGACACTTGGGTGCAGACATGAGATTTTGGGGGAGAAGACACTCCCTTAAAATGTACAGCAATGGCAGGAAATGTACAGCAAGCTGCCTGCCTTTCTCCACAAGCAAAAAGCAATGCTACAAAAGAATATATCCCTGTGACAGCAGGAGGGATCTGGCAGATTGCATTTATTCATCTGCAGAGAACAAAAAATTCCTAGTCACTAGATTAACAGCAAACAGCAAGAGCATTAGTCTCAGTTCAAACGCAAGTGCCGGAGGTATCTACTTTATGTGAGTGATGGCAGACTGTAAAAATTATTAAACCAGTACAAGAGAAGTGCATCAGTCATAGCAAAGAACACTGGTGAGCAGATGTTTCTGAGGCGAAGATGAAACTTCCAAGTGAATGTCTCCATCACAGGTATTAAATCAGTGGAAAAACTGACAAAAGCTGTGTAAAATGAGAAAACAGCGAGCCGTCACAGTCCCCTTTCGGGCACTGCAAGTTTCATGAGACCATGTCGATGCTGGTTGCAGCAGGCAGCAAAGAAACACCACCTCCAGCAGTGCGGAAACGATGCGGTGGTTGAGGTCTGCTAATCACGAGCGGCCACCGCCACCTCAACCATGCTGAAAGCATAAGCTGCCTCATTAATTTTACCTCCTGATTTCCAGCGGTCTCCCCACTTAATTTCCACGGCGCTCACCTAGAATAGTGTACAACACTGAAGGGCTGTCTGAAGAGGAGGTCATGCTCCATATGCACCGATGCCTGTATATATGTAAATAGGGACAACGGGACTCATGGCCGGTGTGGGCTAAGAGTGTTAGGGAACTCGTACACTTGTGCCACTTAGTGAGACCAGACACAGCTCCGTTTCTCGTTCCAGCAAATCTTCAGTGAAGAAGCATGGATTTGGATGCTACAGTAAATCAGAGCTACAAGACACTTTTGTCCTCCCCAAATCAGCTGATTGCTCTCAAGAGATCAATGCTTTTGTTAAGATTTCCACCATCCTGGACCAAAACCACAAGCTGTCTCAAGTGATTTCAGTGGCACCCAGTCTAGATGCCAAAAATGTGCAGGTCCCTTTGGGAGGGAATATGGTTCCCCAGGCCCATGAATAAATTCAGAAAGAGGAAGAAGAATTCAAGGGATCAGAGATCTAGGAAGGACAGATATCCCAGGCGTCTACAGTGCCCACCCTATAAGATCCACAAAGCCACCTAGGAGACACACAATAGTGTCTCAAAAACACTCAAACATGACCAAAACCAGTGAAACAACCTAGACATATTTGGAGAGATGAGAGCTTGACAAGGGTATTTGGTGTCTTAACCAGTCCAGCACAGAAACTTTTGATGACAGCTGAGCTGGTCAGTGGTGGGAGCTTTATCAACTCTTTTGGCCACAGGGCAAACTTGCAGGAATTGTCCATATCAGAAACTGGCTTTGCCATTTTTGTCTTCTACTGTGGACATCTTGGTGCCAGAAATCAGCATACCTAATTAGTCACCCTGGTCTCGTGCTCTCTGGCCTTTGGGAGGGGAGAAGTTAAGATAGAGGCCTCAGATTTTGACTTGGTCTGAACGGGCACAACACCTCTGGCAAAAAGTGTGAGAGTAGCCATTTGTGTCACATGTTTCTGCAATGGTCTCCTGACAACTCTGCTGATGCTCCTACAGAAATCCTCACCACCTACCACCCAGAGGAGAAAGCTCCTGAGGTTTTTGGCCAGGAATGCCCCTGAAGCACATGAAGGTTTAAATGAGGACATGCACTCCACCAGTTCATTTCCTAACTAGGACTTGGGCATTAATGCTAGACGGGGTGCTACAAAAGACTAAAATGCACAGAGATTTCACATGCATGACTCTCACTTCCATAACTGGCCCAAGGACAGAATGCAACGCAGCGTTGTGTGTGAGTAAAACTCATTGTTCTCAGTGGGCTTTAAGAGCCAGTAGAGATTATTTGCTGTTCCCATACCGATCCAGATTTATTTTGGATCAGCAGCGACTTCAACATGATTAGTACGCAGCAAGAAACACAGAGTCACAGTACCGTGAACCTCCTCCTAGCCAGAATGTAAAATATAAAACCCCATTTATTTGTTTTACCCTTTAAAAACCCTGAACAAATTTAATGAAAAATTTTACCTCTCACATTGATGGATCATGGCATGTATTAGAATTAAGGACCATGAACTTCTAATCTGAGATGGATTTGTTACAACATCCTTAATATTTTCCACACAAAGCGCATTCAAAATTAAGAATGCACTTTTAAAATACATTTAGAAATTGTTTTATATTTTAAGATCGTTCCCTTGCAAGAAGAAAAATTCCTAAAGGTCTTCTTGCATTTTACGTGGTATGTATTAATGCCTGCTTTTTACCCTGCCTTCTCAAATCAATTTCCTTAACTGAAAGGCCTCAAACCAACCTTGAAACGGCAAAACACAACAAAATGCAGAAGCCAATTGTGTGTAGGAAAATACATTGAAATTCACATTGTAGCCAACAAGTCAAATTACACTGACAATTCTCCCTACCAGATATGTGGCTCTAACATAGCCTTCCTTTTTTCCCCCTTTAAATAAAATAATTCCAAAAGTTGATTTTATGAATGAGTTAGTCTGCAAGGGAAAAGAAGAGCATGCAGTAAAACTGGACTACACTTGTTCGTTGGCAAAGCATACCTTGTTTTATTATTGAGCATTTCCTGCTAGACTGTATGATCACCTTCAATTCTTCACCAATTAAACTATATATGTTACAAAGCAGCAATCAAGCACAGTCTGCCACCAATATGATAGAGAAGAGTTTTAAGTTCAAAAGCGAAATAGGCAATAACACAAATATTTAGCAGGCTGGAGGGGAATGAAAGTTCTGGAGAGATTTGTCACCAAGCAGGTAAAAGTCTGTTTTGCAGAAGAACTGAAATTATTTTTATAGAGATATATATGAAGTATTTCTGCATGCGTATTTGCAAATGCCACGTGCACACACACAAACATATATATATAAATATAGATATATGCATACATGAAAACCCAAACTTGAGCTAAATTAAATTGTCCTTCCAGCTTTGTAATGCAAATGAGACTAACAGGCTTGTGCTGTTTGTGGTTCAAGACGATTTGAGTTTCCATAGAGATGCTGACTGAACTAAAGTTTTTAAATTTTTTATATATATAAGCCTACTTGTATCTATAAAAGTCTAAATATGGATCTGCTGTACCTCAGCACTTCCTCAGTGACTCCACTGGAACCACAACAATTTACACCAGTTAAGGCTACGTGCAAATTTTGTGTCTTTCACTACTTTCCAATCTAAGCTCTATACCATGTACCTGCAGAGCTGAGAGATTATTACTTCTCTCCCCCGTCCCAGCTTCTTGGTGAAGAAGGGGAAGAAAAGAGAAAAAGCAGTTTCTTAGCTAGTCGTAGATAATATTTCAAAGACTTTTGCAATTTATTGCCTTCTCTAAATTGCCTGGAGAAACAGCTTTGCCTTCAAAAGTTCACACCATCAGGAAATCTAGAATTCAGGGAAAACAATCTGTGTGTGGAGAAACAGCTTTGCCTTCAAAAGTTCACACCATCAGTAATCTAGAATTCAGGGAAAACAATCTGTGCGCTTCTAGTGAAGGAAATGCCAAAAGGACAGACTTTCTGTCAGAAGCTTTTTCCCTTTTCCCTGAGAGCTCTCACAAGCTGAAGATCAGAGACATGCTGAGATGAGCCAGAGTGGGCAGCGATGGGTTCACCACCTCCCCGCCTGGGCTTGGCCATCCTCACCCTTCAGTGGAGCTAAAGCCCATCATACACTATGAGGACCCCACAAAGCTAAAGAGCTTGTGTTTCCCCCAGAGCCACATTAGAGATGGCCACCAGCACAAGTGACAAAAGCCAGCCAGGGTCAAAGTTTGGGCAGAGAAACCAGGCAGACCAGTTTAACTTTCTATTTCAAAACAGCTTCGTTTTATGAGGTCTGGGCATCAGTTCAAGTGGATGAAGGCCACCCACTGCACCATCACCTGAGAGGAAAATCAGAGCTGAGCTCTGTCGGAACTCATTTCCCTGTGGTTTCAGCGATAAGTGATTTTTGAACAGCGACACACCAGAGGTCAACCTCCACAATCGCTCTGAACCACAATCAAAACCAGCCTCCTGTGTACCTCCTTATCTGCCTGAGAAGAAGGATTTGTCCAGTGAACCAAAGGTGTCCACAAGCATGTGGACCAGCAGCTCACACCCAGCCTCTTGTTTGATCTTTGGAAGACCCAAGTGCAGCGGTGCCATACAGAGGTACAGCCAGTGAGCTCCTTTGGGTAATGGCACGTGAGAGGGACGAGACCTCCCTCCTGCCCCCAGGGCGACACCACACCTCCACACATGGCACTGTCTCCCCCTTTGAGGCTGACAGCATATCTAAGCCCCCACAAAAGCCTCTTTTCAAGCCCGACAGGAGTTCCCATTTCCAGCGTTTAAGAAACCATACAGAGGGAGACCTTCCCCAAGCCCCCGCAGGCACCATTTAACCCCCCCAACACCTCCCTTCAGGAAGGGTCCCAGGGCATGTTCATCCATATGACCCTCCACTCTATGGGGAGACCAGCGAGCACCCGCATCTCCTACCTTCTGCTGCAGCGTGGGCGCCTGTGGGGCCAGCACCGGGTCAGTGATGTAGGTCTTCTTGGTGCTGGGCGGCTGGTAGAGCCCGGGAGGAGCCTGGCCCATGGTGTTACCGGCAGGATACGTCGGCTCAGCCTTCCAGGTGCTCTGTGGCGCGTAGGGCGCTTCGGAGCCATTCCTGCCCCCGTACCCTCCATAGTAGGGGTCCTGGTAGCGGCCCTGTGGAGGTGCGTAGCCATAGTTGGGCTCCGAGGGCCGGGCGGGCGGCGGGGCGTAGCCGTAGTCGGGTCCGCGGGGCTGGGTAGAGCCGTACTGCGGGGCGCCGGGCGGGCGGGATGGCGGGGGAGCGTAGGGCTGGCCGGGCCCCAGGCTGCCGTAGTGTGCGGGCTGCGGGCCGGGCGGCTGGTAGTGCGGGCTGGGCTGTGCCGTCCTCACCTGGACGTTGAAAGCCGGGCGGCTGGGGGTGGAGGCCGTGGCGTAGGAGGCCGGCACCGGCTGCGGCTTCAGGGTGCCGACGGGAGTCACCGGGATGGGGGCCGGCTGCCCCGGGCCCTTGGCAGTGGATTTCTTGGTGGCAGTGAGGGGAGGCTGGTTGGGGATGATCATCCGCTTGTGGCCAGTGACGGGGGTGGACACGGATGGGGTGGTGGCGGTGGAGCTGCTGGTGGTCCCGGAGCCCTAGGGAGAAAGGAGAGGAGAAATCCACCGCGTCAGCAGGAGGAACTGCTCGGGCATCAGGTCCAGCAGCGAGGGGTTAAGTAGAAATGGGGCTTTATAGTAACATCTGCACGGAAACCCAAACTGCTGGAAATGCAGGAATGTACCTGAGAACACACCTTATAACATGGTAACAGCAACCTTTCCCTGCTGACGGAACAGGGACGGCACCGCGGCAGCCAAGCAGAACTGCCATGCACAGCGTTTTGTCTTTCCTCAGGGTTTTCTCCTCCACCGCAAAACAAACAAACTAAAAAGCGATAAATGCAAAAAAAAAAGGGGGGGGACTCGCTGGAGAATAATTAGGGAGAAACCTGTGCATTTCTGTGAAAAAAAGAGTGTCTTGAAAAATGAGAGAAAATGAAATTAGAGTCTCTATGGAGGCAGCAAAACGGGATGGCCTGAAAGCAGCTTCCAAGCCGTAAGAATTAACTGGGATCGAGGCAAAATACGGAGGTGTCCCTGTCCCTGGCTCTGCTCCTAAGCACTGCTGGTTGAAAGCCTGGAGTGACCCCAGCGAAGGCAAATGTTCCACATGGCTCATTAAAGGGCAGAAAGCGGGTCAGGATCCCTGAGCCTCAGAAGTCGGCTCCCACCACGGCAGCCGTGTAACCCTGCACCGGCGCCCTGGGCACCGTAGCCCTCGGGCAGCCAGGGAAGAGGTTCACAGCCAGTGCCACCGCTTACGGCAACTTGGCCACCAAACCAAGATTTAGTGCGGCAACACTGTCCTAACAGGCATCATACATCCTTCTGTCTAATGTACTTGCTTGTCTGTTTTACCTCTTATTTAAATCCCACGTGCAAAAACACCGGTGTGAAAGGACATCTTTGTTTAAGAGCTAACAATGTGAAATTTACTAGAACAAAGAAGAGCAAACTTGAATTCCTGGAGTTTAGAATTAGGTAAAATTTCTTGCCCCTCTTTATTTTCCTTTATTCTCAGAGGTTATATCTGAATTTCATGCCTTCCTGTACAGAGAAGCATTAAAGTGAAGAAATGCTATTTACCAGTATTTCTTTGCTGTTGCACTTAGTATGATAGTTGTATGAGCTTATATGATCCAAACTTCCTGCACTGGGCTTATCTCATCCATGATCACCTTGACAACCTATAAGTTCACAGCAGCCCAAAGTCAGAACAGCTCAGTCCTCACCAATGGTTGTGTTCACACTAAGGCTCATGCCACCTTTCCCAATGGACCAATGACCAACCTTGTATTTGTCCCCAGGTGTTCCCGCTTTATACAGGCACACTGACCTCTGCCTACTGCCCCACCATGTTCTTGCTGGGACCACAGGCCAGGGGAGAGAGCGGTGGGGGTTCATTGGGATACCCCGTGCACAAGCTCTACCTGGGCCAGAGAAATCCTCTGCCTGGGCAGCAGGTGGCGGCAATAAATTGCTGCCAAACCAACCCAGGCCAGCAGCTGGAGAGGAACTTCAACCGCCCATTTCTCTGGGTCTCCAAGGGTACCAAACTCCCATAGAAGGTAGGAGAAAGGCAGACACCCCCCACACACACACCCTCCCAACATTTGGCAGCCACCAAATATGAAGAAAAAGGAGATGGGAACAAGCCACTCAACTTCTACTCTACAGACTACAAGCAAGTCTACCAAAGGAATAAGGAAGCTCTACTACTACCCAACTGGTAGCTCTTCCCTGGTGACGTGCAAATATATTTTTGCTAATGCACTGGTAAAGACCTTACCCCTGCACACCTTCAGGGCAAACCTCCCATGAGAGCAAACCTCCCATGAGGAATCACTATAAATCAGCAAAAAAACCCAGCCAAATAAGAGCATCAGTCTGTTTTGAGAGATGTAAAAGGTGGGTATGCAGAGGTGGGGAATAATAAGGCAGCAAATTTCTGCTGGAGAAAAAACATCTCAATGTATCTGAACCCCGACCTTGCCAACAGATCCATGACAAGGCAGTACATAGTCAGAGCAAAGATATTTTGAAACTGAGAGCAAGGGAGAGCTGAAGCATCTCAGTTGAAATGCAAGGGCAGACAGGTTAAGGGTCAGTAGCCCTCCATTAATATTGCCTGATTCTTCTATTTCTGAAACACCTGACAAGGAGCAGGCGTTCTTCCATCCTTGCCTCAGAACACAACTGCACCAGTGCTCATTGCTAGCAAGAAAATTTGCTTTCTGTTGGAATTATTCTCCCATGTCAGCTTGGCATTTATGCCCAGGAGTGCTAGAAACTTTCCCATTTCCTCACCTATTTCATTCTTGTAAATGACAGTAGTTTGTCCACTTACTGTAATGGGATGAAAGGTCCATAACACAGCACTGTGTAATTACCAGCAGAAAGGCATTTTTTTTTCTCCACATGAAGAGGGAGAAGACAGATAGTGTTTTAAAGACAATGGCCTATCAGGGGGAGGGGGAAAACCCAAACCAAAACAACATAAATGAGACCTGTTCATCACATCTTATACTTCTGAATGCAGACTCTGGAAGCAGGTGATGACAGACTGCTAGTAAAGCTCTTGCGATGGAAGTCTATTCCATCCCAAGAACCAGGGGATTTTAATCTTACTTATAAAGATCCACATAACACTTCACTTAATGTGCTGATCCGGTCTCCTGCCTGTACTGGAATACATCTTAAGAACGAATAATAACCCCTTCCTCCAAAAAAACCCCTAACAGCCTATTGTCTGGCATTCTGACAGGCTCTGACACGCTCCCAGTATTGACACTACAAAGAGGATGCCTCCCCTCCTGCACCAAAGCCCAGTGAAGGAAAGCAGCAAGCTGGAGGTGCCTGGCCAGAGACCAAGCTTTGCCATCATCTTCACAGCAGAGGCTCAAGCTAAGAAGCACCGCTGCATTGTGGCATTCAAACCACAGGCCGCCTTGAGGAGGAGGAAGTTTGCATCAGTAGGAGTCCCCAGAGGCACCCTGTGTGACTCATTCTGAATTCCTCTGAGGGTGCTGGGCAAGTGTGTGATGAAAGCTGGGCTTTAGGCGGAGGAAGAGTGTGTAAGGCTAGTTAATGTGGTGTAGTAGAGAAATGGGACAGGTTAGAGGGAACTACTGGAGCACTGATGATTTATGGAGAGGCAAATTGGCTGTAGTTCTTGAGCAAGGGCACAGGTGAGGTGTCACCATAAATCCTCTGCCCTTTTGCCTGGGAGAGAGAAGGGTGGCCACAGTCCAGCCTTCTCGATGTCCAGCCATGCACTCAAATATCACCCCAGGCTTAAATCTCTAGATTATTAAGGGATTAAGAAAAAACTTTATAAATGCGCATGAACTATGGACACGATTTCTGCTCTGAGGACAGGCATGTGTGGAAGGATGGGAAAAGGGTACTCAGATACCATGGAGAAGAGTGATTTCAACAGATGTCTGGAAGGCACTAGGAGGATAGGAGGGATGGATGAGGCTATAAAGATGCCAGGTAGATGGAGGGGCAGTAATGGCCAGAAAGCTGGAAAGGGCTACCTATATCACTGGGTACAGTCCCAGCAGAACAGATGACCATCGCAAATATTTCATATGAGTGAGACTGCAGAACTTCTCCCAGCAAAACGAAGTAGACTCATCCAAAGGCACATCCAAGTAACAGCCCAGAAGTGTGAAAACAAGTAGAAATAGGGGAAAGAAAAAAGGAGGAAAACCAAGAGAAGGAGTGGATGCAGAGGAGCGCAGGCATCCCCTCCTCCGGCAGCTCCTGGACAGCTCATTTCAAAACTGTGCTGCATTTGCAAGTGACTATCGCAGCCAAACACACTCTCTGACATCCTCTGAGGGCTGTTTTCAGAGGAAGACAGGCTTTCCTCTGCCCGCCATGCACTAGATGAAACTGTCTGACACACTTCGCAAGTGCAAATTAGAACCACGCTACTTACCATCAACCCCTTCTTGCAAATTCATATTTGCAAAGAGAGAGTAAACTAGAAACCCCAGGTGCTGATAACGCAGAGTTGTTAAGAGAAACTAGAGTAGGAAGGAGTTAAATTCAGAACCTCATCTACCACAAGCATTATAATACAAAATCTTTTTTTTTTTAATGGGGAAAGCACAAGAGCCTTGTTTAAACACAGATGGAAGTACCTAAATGTACTGCCTCTTCTACAAATGAATTATCCAGCAGTTCAAATAAAGGTGAACCAATACTGACAAAATCAAGTAAAACTCAATCAACGTGGGAGGAAAAAACCCCCAAAACACTTCTCCTAAAAAAAGTTACCATGTGTAACCATGAGGGGAATCATTTTGCCCTGCTCTGTCTTAAGTCCAGTGAAAGTTTATAAACATTTGCAGGAGTTTCTTGTACCAACCATCATACGTGTGCTGTCCTAGGGGTCTGACTGTGAAAGCTGGGCATCTGCATTCAAAGCTACTCTGGTGGGGAAACCCAAAATCCTGAGTATCCTGAGTAGCTGATTCTTCATTCTGTAGAAATTATTTACATAGATCTTAAATTAAATTCAATGTACAGCAACAACTAAAAAGTCATGACATTGGTACTAAGGATGAAACCTGTTGTTCTACAGAAATGAGCCTATAATTCTATACCATTTGTCGGAGTTAAATCTTAAAAAGAGTACAGAATAATTATAGTCTACAGCAGGAGCATGATTCTATATGGTCAGCTGGAACCCTTATGAAAAGGACTTCATTCTCCTTTTATTTTGTGCATTTGTAGAGTGTTTTCTATAGAATCCTTTCAGTTATTCAGTTTCACAGACTGGATCAAAAATGCCAACACAAAGTTTATCACGTTCTATTCAATTCTCCAGGCATTTTTCATAAAGGTACAGTTGAATAGTTTTAGCCTTTTAGCTGTCAAATTATCACATATAAAGACACATTACTCCAGCTCAGTGGTTTTCAACCTTTATGCTCAGCAGCCCCCAAATGTTTTTCAGAAGAGACAAGCTCCTTTATGGAGAGAGTTAATCTGCTGACAATAAACATGTTTTTTTAAGTTACCTT